TTACTGTTTGTGGGCGGGCAAGTTGGCGACGTAGAAATTGGGCAGACATTTTGCAAATGTGTTACTTCGTGACGTAGAGCCGTAACAGAATAAGATTCGAATTCCTGATGACTCGTTTAGGCGATTGCGAGCCGACTCTTTTATTTGATAGACAATAACTTTATTTATCGTGCACTGTCGGCTTCACAACTTTGCAGACAGTTTATGTTCACATACAGCTACATGACACACTGCATGAAAGGTAATATTTGAAAAGACATAATAGGGGCACTTTAAGCTTGTATAATACATAATTTTCACACTTTTAATTATCCTTTAAAACTGAAATCACTGTGGTGGGCATTCACTATGGGAATCATTATACTGAGTATGTTTGCTATTTGTGATGTCACAAGCATCATACTAATGGTAGGCTAGAGCTTCCCAAAGCCCTTTACATTTGTCAAGGGCATGACATGATGTATATTGCAGGCAGTAATTATGAGCACCATATCCAGCAGAGAAAGAGAGATCCTAGAGAACAGCCATTGTTTCCTGCCTCCACTGCTCTGTCTCCATGGCGATGCCTTTAAAACAGGCTGTGGTGACACACATAAGGTAGATGTTTACTGAGCTGAGGGCTGTTTTGTTGAAGTAAAAAAAAAAATACAATCATAAAACAACAACCAACAATGCATTAGAAGAAACAAACAAACAAACAAACAAACAAACAAACGATACCAGCTTCTTGAAATAGTACCAGACTGAATTTTACTTACAGATTGCTTATGGACGTCTACTTTGGCAGATTTGAGCCCACATGTACGCAAGAATGGATCAACAGACACACACTCACACACAATCGAAACTTGTCCACAAGTCTTCACTGTGCCAGAAATAATTGCTCTGTCTGACTGTCAAACTGTTTCTCAGATTAGAAAAGACTGAAGTTATAATTGCAAGGAAATCCATAACACTGTGTGCCAACTTGGAACAATAGGGCTGGTCAATAATAGCTGAACTGATAGTAATTTAGTCTCTGTAAAAATCTTTATTCTTTTGATTTGAGCAACCCAAAATATACGTTCAATCCACCCACGTACGCTAGCTCTCCAACTGACAGATACTGGGTTAGCTCTATTTATAGCGTGAGGAGCATAAATATTGAAGACTCAGAGCCTGTGTGCTCATGTCAGCCTACTTTACAGAGCATTCCAAGGGAAATATCACTAAAAGTTCGAATGGGGACATTCACATCGTTTTGTAAATCAAGAGTTTTCTTAGCATTCTGGCAAGAAAATCAAAAGATTCAGTTTATACGTGTGTGTGTGTGTGTGTAGTTGCACAATGCACATTATATTTCAACATGTTCTCTGAGTGCTTTTCCTCATTTATGAGCATTATAAACACAGAACGGCTAATTGCAGAAAATTTGTTTTAGCAATGCTATTACACCACTGGCTTTATTGTTTGGATCTTGGGGCTCTATATTTTGTATACAAATAATATATGAATTTAAGTGAACTTGAACCCTATACTGTATATAGCAAACAGAAAAGTACATAACATATGACAAACCAGAAGTCAACAATTGATTCCCCAATATGAAACAAGATATATAACTACAGAAATAAGGGTTGCATTTTATTTTACAGTATGTGCGGTGCACTTACATGTACTTACCTAAGAAAGCACTGAGTAATAAAAGGTAACCCCCAACGACACCCCAACACCCAAATGACAACCATTTTTTCTGAGAGTACAACATAACATTTTGGATAAAGGAATAGTTCACCCCAAAAATCAGAAAACTGACATTGTTGACTGGAGATGCTGGAGATGTTTTGTGTAACAAATGCACTCTGAAAGAGCACCTACAGTATGCCCTCATTTGAACCTCCTCCTTTTTATGGGTCAAAGAGCAACTCACAACTCACTACAGAAATTTCAATATGTCCACATTCAGCAACGAAATATAGAGCAAATGTATGCAATGCAATGTCACCAAAAACAGCAACTACATTTAAATAATCATAATCTGAGTCAGAAAGACATTTGGGACAGGAAGTCTAAAACAAGATAATGTGACGTATGCAGCCTGCATTCTAACCACAATCAAGGCAAGCACTTGCACAACATCCGCCAAACCCAAAGTTGTTTCACCAGGGCAGCAAGTCAGAGCCTGGTAGAGGAGGCATTCTACTCTGATCTTGACTACTGCAATTCTTGGTAGATCACTGTCCTCAGACTCAAATGGTGGAATCAACTTCCCCTACAAGTTAACCCTTTTGCATACATGTTTTTTGTTGAGAATCATATTTGATACATCAGGCATTTATGGCTCATATAGTACGATGTATAGGAGAATATGGAGCTTAGCTCACACACAAGGAGGAAAAAAGACCTCAATTAATTCAGTCTAGTTTCTGATATTTACTGTATATGGCCAGAAAGCAAATTCTGATAGCTTACTGATAATTTTATTCAGTAAGATCTTTATAACAGTAGCAAACTACTTACATAAAATGCACATAAGTACCAGTTGTCACTCTATATCTCCCAAAAATATGTCTTGACAAAATGATCTTTAAATAGTCTTCTGATCAAAGCTCTGTAGTTTTAATTGTGAGGGAAGAGGCATATAATGCAATGCAATGATGACTGACAGCTGTACAAATAAGCATTTCTCAAAAGCCTAATGTGTAATATTTAATACTCACAATTTAACAAATCAATTTACTGCAATTTGCACCATTAAAAAAAGCATGTCTTAACCCATATTGCGGCTGTGTTGTTAGTGGATTACCCACACCATTGTCTCTGCATTTTTGTGATCCTACTTTGCGCTGCTCTTGATTGCGATGGCCATTATGGAAATGAGCCAGCTGCGTCGGTGTTCTTTAATTAGCGCATTGTTAGTAGATCAGCTGCCGAACTTTCCACTTCCATCGGCACTTTAATGGGATGATTGTGATCTCACGCTAATTTGCCCTGTTTAGTAAATGCGGCTAAGGCCTTTGCTAAGAAGCATAAACTATGAATCAGATAACAGTCAGTATGTAGAAGATTGTTCAGCAAGTGAACAACAGGTTTTCAATCAGTTTTGATAGTGTTGATAATATAGAGGTCTTAGAAATCTGTGTATCAAATATGATACAGTAGGCTTTGTAGAGTTAAAATAGAAAAATCTCTCCTAAACTCACAGGATCAAGACTCACCTTTTTTATCAGTCTTGGACAAATCTAGGTTTTATTGGACAGTATATATTAGGTTTATTTGTATATTCTTTATACTGTATGTACTGGAAGCTTTTATTTGCATATATCACAGTCTCATTTGTGCAGCTAAAATGATCACTCTGAAAAACAGAGTCTGCTAAATATAAATGAGTCACGACTCTTCAGTCTAAACATAGGTGACGATACCTAATAAGACAGATTTCACACGCCACGGAAGACTAGATGGTACCACGCTTCCGCTCTGACTTACTGTGCATTGGTCGAGTCCATACTGTACTCCTCTGTGTACCTGGACAGAGCAGACATGGGTGACACAAAAGGGGAGAGTTTTCAATTAAGGACATGCAAATTACAAATACGCAAAAACATGCTGGAAAAATCTGGGTTGACCACAGTCCTTCTGAAGAGCACTGCAAAAGAACATTTGACACAAAGCTGTCAAATGTGTGTCATTGTGCTGTGACACAATTCATCTTTACAATGTGTTTAGCTTGTGACATTTGAAGTGCCATTTAAAAGCTTTGAGCACTGAGCTGCAAACCAGAGGAAGATGGAGATTTCATAGCCCAAGGGTTGCTCTGTGTGGCCATTTAGTCGACACAATGGATGGTCATGATGTGTACCACATGGAGGTTAGATGATGACTCCATTATCACAAACAACTTGATCATAAATTATGTGCCTTTAATGATTGATGTACAAGAAAACTGCACCAAATATTGGTGTGTACAATTGTCAAATAGAAACAATTGTAAAACAATAGAAAATGGCAGAACTAAATCTTATACTAAGCAAGGGAAATGAACATTCCTAAAGGAACAGGCTAAGTGAATATCCATGTCATACGAACTGCATATTCTCTCTGAATTTATGGGCTAAATATTCTCTGTGAATGTATTGCATTACATATTCCCTCTGTGTGGTGTGGTGAGCAGCACAGTATTTCAGTCCAACAACCACAGGGCCACAGTGAATGAATGGTTTATTACATTGTTGTATCTCACTTGCACAAACAATACAGTGTAGCTGATCAATTTTGCTGGTAGAAATTTATATTAAGAGTCTAAAGGGAGGAGCCCATAACCTTGAATAACCCCAAACTCCAAAAGACTGCTGTGTACGTTTTCTGATGGGACATTATCTTGTGCGTTCACTGCATACTTAATCACAAAGTCAAAAACCTTATGATCTAACTTCAGAGTTATCTACTTTACTTTTTGCACTTATACGTTATAGGGATAGAACATAACACTGATAATATTAGCGGAGCACTTACTGTACTTCTGACTAGCCTTTACTGGAATAAAGTGAATACATTTATACAGACTGATCGAGTAAAACATACAGTGATAAGGAAGAGAACAATCAGTAATTGAATAACTGCTGTTATGTTAGCGACCATAAAAGACATTGAAACATCTTTCACTAAAATCACAGACACAATAGAACAATTCAGCATGATATATATATATATATATATATATCATGCTGAATATATATACAGTATATAATGGTTTCAACACTTTAGATATATTATTTATTTATTTATTTATTTTTTACAAACTTTACTTGAACTTAAACTTGCACCAAAATTTTTTTAAGTTTTGTACCCTTATAATATACACAGGGAATTCTGGGAATGTCAATTTCTGAGGTTTATCACTGTAAATTACTAGATGACTTACTGTAAATTTAAAAGTATTTAACTGTAAAATGATGAAATGTCCCTTTTCAGTCTGCTTGTTAAAATATCTAATCAGCCAATCACATGGCAGCAGCAACTCAATGCATTTAGGCATGTAGACATGGTCAAGATAATCTGCTGAAGTTCAAACCGAGCATCAGAATGGGAAAGGTGATTTAAGTGACTATAAATGTGCTGTGGTTGGCATGTCCCAAATTTCAGAAACTGCTCATCTACTGGGATTTTCATGCACAACCATCTCTAGGGTTTACAGAGAATGGTCCGAAACAGATAAAATATCCAGTGGGTGGCAGTTCTGTGGGCGAAAATGCCGTGTTGATGCCAGAGGTCAGAGGAGAATGGCTGGTTCAAGCTGTTACAACCGAGGTATGCTGAAGAGCATCAACACGTCGAACCTTGAAGCAGATACAGTAGCAGAAGACCACGCCAGGTGGCATAACCAACATGAAAGCATGAATCCATCCTGCCTTGTATCAATTGTTTTGGCCACAGCCTTTATGCCTTTATGGCCACAGTGTACCCATCTTGTGATGGCTATTCCAGCTTGATAACGTGCCATGTCACAAAGCTCAAATCATTTCAAACTGGTTACTTAAATATGACAAAGAGATTCTCTGTACTCAAATGCATAGGCGTAATTTGCGGGTGGGACGGGTGGGACATGTCCCCACCACTTTTTGCCAA